CCCCCCAACACAGCCCCCCGCAGTGTACGTACCATATCCTTGTTGGTTGCCAGCATCTCCTCGATCATCATGCTGTCCCTTGTGAAGGAGCTCCGGTTTAGCGTGTGGGACCTATCAGAACTGAAGGAACGGAGGCTTGGTGTGGTTGTTGTGGCAGTGAGGGATTACCAAGACAACAGACGCAGTGATGGAGGGAGGAGGAAGAGGAGGAGGAGTTGGTAAGGGGTGCAGGGGTAAAGGGATATGAACGTGAACACAAAAACAAACAAACAAACAAACAAAAAAACAAACATTAAATGCATGCAGCTTCCAGGAACTTGACTGTATCCAACCAGTGACATAAAAAGATCAAATCATCTTTAGATTGTTAAATGACAAGTTCTTGGTTTTTTTCAGAGCCTGTAAGCTGCGATGTTGTGTTTCCGCTTCGTGACGATCTTTACGAGGCAAATAAAACGCATTCCTGAGCAGTGATGTGATGCAACAGTTACACTCATAAGTAATTAGAGGGAAAGAACAGACATGATGGAGAACGTCGTCACTGTAAGACTTCAGAAAACTAAACATGGAATGAAAATCTGTTTCCTTCTTCCTTACCAGTTGTAATTCTCAGTGTAAATATGCCTCAATCACTCTTTTACCTACATTTTAATTACAACCCCAAATCCAATGAAATTGGGACGTTGTGTAAAACTAAACAAAACAAAAAACAGAATATGAGGGTTTGCAAATCCTTTTCAACCAATAGCCAACTGAATACACTACAAAAACAAGATGTTTAATGTTCAAACAGTGTGGATAACAATCAGGACAGTCCTTGTCTTCTTTGGCCCGGAGGATGCCACGTCCATGATTTCCAAAAAAACAATCTGAAATATGGACTCATCAGACCACAGGACACTTTTCCACTTTTCGTCAGTTCATCATCAGTCAGGTGTATTAACAGAGTTTTTATCTTACTATGAGTTTAGTGACGGGCGTCTTGGATGCAGTGCAGAGAAGCCGGCGTTGTTTCTGGGTGTTGTTGATATCTGTCTTTGTCTTTCCAAGATAGAGATTTAACTTATAGCTGTAGAGATGAACTGTGTTCACTGACAGGTTTTCTGAAGTCTTCCTGAGCCCAGGTGCTAACATCTGTTACAGAATGATGTGGTTTTTTTAAGGCAGTGCTGCCTGAGGGGTCAAAGGTCATTCGACGTTGTTTTTCAGTTGAGAAATATTCTTAAACKGTTGAACTATTTGCTCACGCAGTTCTTCACATGGTGAACCTCACTTCATCCTTGCTTGTGAACAACTGAGCCTTTYAGGGATGCTCCCTTTATACCTAATTATGACGCTAAGCTGTTTCCTATCAACCTGTTTACCTGTGGAATGATTCAAACAGGTGGTTTTGGAGCATTCCTCAACTTTCCCAGTCTCTTGTTGCCCCTGTCTCAGCTTTCTTGGAAGGTGTTGCAGCATCAAACTCAGGGGTTTTTATTGAATGTTTAGTGATATAACCTTTTAATTGTGTTTGGAGAGTGGGGTGGGGTGTTTATGTATTTTTATTGTTGATTGTAAAATGTTTTATTTTGTATTGTTTTTATTTTTCTGTTATTTTCTTTTCTTGTTTTTATTGTTGGATGTTGTGTTGTTGTTATTATTAAGAGGACTGCAGATGTGAACTAGCCTTAGGCTAAATTTGGTGCAATGCATCAAATGTTTTTATGTTTGTTTTAATTGCACATTGTCCTTATAAAAAATAACAATGAATGTTTGCAAAAAAATAAACAACAAAATCTAAATATCTTGTCTTTGCACTGTATTCAGTTGAATATAGGTTGAAAAGAAGGTGCAAATCCTCATATTCTATTTTTATTTATGCTTTAAACAACGTCCCAATTTCATTAAAATTAAGGTTTTAAAAACATGCATTTTTTTACTGAAACAAAACTGTTCACGTTTGCTCCTYGTCAAAAACCAAACAAAACAAAACATAAAAAATACAGCTTCTGTATTATGTGCCATTACAGCTCGAGTCCCTGGGAGCTCAATAAAAACAAAATTCAAAAAAAACTCCACAAAAAACAAAATGATGCCAAGCTTGAAGCTTCAAACCCACTGAGATGCAGGCGTAAATGATAAACACACACAAAAACCAAACAAAGATGCAGAAAATAAGGAAGTGGACCACAAATCACACACGTACATCCTGCAGTACACAACACACGTTAAATCACCTAATAATGAACCAAAAATCGTTAAGTTAGTAGTGAAATATGCAGAAAATCTTCACAGAGTCATAACCTGACAGACGTGGGGTTGGGAGGGACGGGGGAGGGGAATGGGTGAGAGTGGGTGATGGTGGGGGGGTCACGGGGAGGGGTTTTCATGCCATGAGTCTTACCTGGCTTTGGTACTAAAGTTAAGAACGGACATGAGGAGAGAATAAAACATCATGAACAAACAGAGGAGTGGAAGAAGTGATGCAGAGAGGAGAGGAGCAGAATGAAGCCGACTGAAACTCTGAGGATCTCCTCAAATATTTTACAAACGACGGCTTCGGTTCAAAGAACGGACGTTTTATCAATTTATARCAGGATTAAGGTGTGTTAAGAGAGTTTTTATCTTATTTTGACTTTAGTGATGGACGTTTTGGATGCAGACAAAAAAAACGTTTAAAAGCTGGAACATCTGTCATGTTTTCTTTTTTTTTTTTTTTTTTTTGCTTTTGTCGGCCAACACAAATATGAAATAATCAATTTAAGATTTAAATTAGAACCAGTCTCATTTATGGATAAGTGTTTAAGCCCAATTCATTTGGACATTAACACACATTTAACAAAAGCCCCGCCCACAGGAGTGACCCAACCAGCTGGAAGCAGGTTGATTAAAGCCAACCCTCTGCTCCAGGCCATGCAATCGAACATGTTTCTAATTTCCTGTGGCTCTGTGTCCATTTATGTCACCCCTCAGATATTCAATAACCCCTCCTGCTGGACCATGTTGCACAAGTGTCAATATTTTCAAAAGAGAATAAAGTCCAACACTCRCAGGAGCTGAACTGTAGCCTCTAACCAAGGCAGCTAAAAACCTCTAATAGTTAGTGAGGGAACTGTTTTTAGATCTTTTTTTTGTTGTTGTTTGTTTTGGTGCTGTTAAAGAAGAATGTTTGTTTAACCCTGCGATGTAATTAATTTTCAAAAAATAGCAGCGACGTTAGCTGCTGTGGAAAATGTCTCTTCACCACATCTGAACTATAGTTAATTTCAATACATTAATAAAAAATGATGCATAAAGACAAGCAGCAATAAGATAATAAAAGCACATATTTTCCATAAACACTGTTATTAGCTGGAACGTAGATATTGTTTTATTCTATTTATAGTCTCTAAAACTTAAAAAGTGGGAGATTCCTGACCAACCCCAACATCAACAACCAACATGGCCGCCTTTGAAAAGTTGTGTACGCTGCATTAATGAAGATTTTATTTTCACTGTTGGTTTGTAAATCGTAAATCAGTCACACACATAACCTCTTTAACAAAATGATGCTATAGTGTTTAAATACAGTTATTGTATTTACAACTCCTTTCACTTTCTAGTTTATTTGAACTTGAACATTTTCTTATACTAAGTTGTTCACAAGACTGTTTTATTTTGACCATTTCAACCTGTATTTGGTGAGACATTTTTCACTTCCTGCTTGAAGCATTGATCGGTGTACATTTGAACCTGGTTCCAAAACATTTTACTGTGTATTTTTACTTTAATACAATAGTAAAAACAGAATGTTGCACACTTATTCTGCCTCTCTTTTTTGAAACTTTTGCACAAGTTTGTGATTTCTACGWGTCGTTTTGTAGAAGAACACGCTTTGTTCCCTGATTGTCAGAAAAACAAAAACACACAAAACTTTTGTTTTGGTTTACTGGTTAGTTAATGCAGACGCGTGCTGCAGCGAGCCTTACCTCTGCGACCGTGCACCAACACTGAAGCCCATGTAGCCCTCCTGAGGGAGCGAGTCGTCCCCCAGCTCCCTCAGGTCGTGGGGGGCCAGATATTTGTCCGTTTCCCCGGTCAAGCCATCATCACCTGGTGATGGAAACACACAGGAGTTATACGCAGCTGTGATTTCTTCACCTGGCAGCTGACGTTCAGGTTCTTCTGACACATCCTGCATCATGTCAGGATTTCTTCGACCGAAAAATCAATGCATCCTCAACCAGAGGCTGTTTTCCAGCTCAGCTTTGCTCTAAAAAAAGTCCTGCTGTCACTAAAAGCTTTTGTCCCGAGAGACGAGAGAACAAACATCAAGAACAGTTGAGCTAAAGCATCATTGATCACAGTTCAATGCTAAAAGCGTTTTTTTTATTTCAATGCAAACATAATTTAGACACTGCAAACAGTTAAAACATACGTCAGAGGTGCAGCAGATCCAAAGCTCCTGATGAGGAGCTGAGAGGTGAAGCATCGAGGGGAGGAGAGCAAGTGCATGCAGGCAGAGAGAGAGCAAAAGAAAGAAAAAGGAAGGCATTCCAGCAACCACATACAAAGCCAGAGAGAAACCCCCTTCTCCTCCACCCCCTGCTGCCACGCCACCCCTCCCCCCTGAAAGTTTCCCTTCAGTCCCCGCACACGAGACACTTCACAGACCCCATCTGGCCACATTCCAGCCTTTTCTCCAGGACTTCTGCTTTCTGCTGGCCTCCAGCAGCAGCAAAGTCCCCTCTTCACAGAGCCAAAAACTCACCTCCTGCTTTAAAGCACTTCATCGAGAGCGGTCGGGGGGTTTTCACCACCGAACAAACTTTCAGCCTCCCGTCAGCTCGGAGTCCAGCTCTCCGGCAAGAACTCGCTCTCTCTCTTTTAGAGTCCGGCACGCACACAAACAGATCGTCTTTCTCCCGCCTACCAACCCCACTCCGGGATTAACCAGACTGCAAGTGTGTGCCAAAACACACACACACACACACACACACACCCACACAAACTCACACACACACCTACAGCTCACTGCAGCACAGAAATAGTAAGTGGATTTGTGACTCAGATAGTTGCCTAACATCTAAACACATTCTTGTCTCTATGAAAAGCAGTCCTCAGCTCAAGAATAAGAATTTAAAATTGCTTTTTTAATCTTTTCTCAAATTTACATTTGTACTAAATCAGATTTGTTAAGCGTATCTTATAATCATACCTCTTTTCAGGCCAGTTTCATTACTTCTCAATACTTTTACTTCGTATCTTGTGATTTGTGCAAAAATATATATTTTATACTGTGTATTTCTGGTTTGCAGCACGTACATTATTACACCAACTCAGTTTATTAAGATGACCCGAGCAGGAACTGACATGTTAGTAAAAAAAATTAAATCAATATGTGACGAAATTCAATGAGTTTTAAATCAAAACAATGAAAGCTAATGCTAATGATAGCTAGGAAACTCTTCCATGAAATCTAACAGAAAATACATAAAAATGAGTCCTAGTGTGAAATTATAAACGGCCAGCAGCAGATATGATTAAAACTATTTCTAGTAAGTGAGCAACAAATGTGTTTTCTACTTTAATAATTTAATTTTTTTTTTGTCTGGAGTATTAGTTGATTTCCATTGTTGTTTACAGCTGCACTGTTGCAGTGCGCCACAGTTACTCAAAGCCAACAAGTATAATATCTTTTAACTTTTAAATTTATTTATTTTGTTGCATTGAATCATAAATCTTAAATTTATATATGATTTAAAATGATTTTTTTGTATTAAAGTAAGTAGAAATATATATAATTTCAGTGACCTTACTAGCAGGATGGATGAAAGTCATCTGGCCCGCGGGCCACCAGTTGAAACAGCCCTGATATAATCAAAGAGAACATTTCAGGCACAGATTATTCTCCTGTATGGTTGTCAGACGGTGACATGTTGCTTTATGCATTTATATTGATCTGTTCCCATTAGACAAATGAAAATGGCCGGCCTGTTTAAAAAGCTAACAGCTAAATTTACACATGGCACGATAATAAAAAGCTTCAAATGAAAAACACAGGAATCAATGAATTACAAGGAAAAAACATCAGTTAAAAGTTGTAATTCCATTAACACTGATTCARATTTCAGACCCAAGATGACGGATGATATTAATTAGCTCTGGAAATGCAGGGCGGTGGACAGAGTTTATGAAACACGACGTGTTCGGTGCGTTAGTGGAGATGTTAATCACCGCTGCTGCTGCTGCTATGTGACTACAGTTACACYGGATTTATTTTTAGATCAGAGGTTYAAGATGGACAACAACAACTTGAACACACATTCCATGGCAAGACAAACATGCATGGAGCTGTGCATAAAAGAAAAAAAAAACACAGAGTTTAGCTGCTTTAACACTTTCGTCAGGCTTCAGYTATATTTCTTTTTATGACTTACAAGAAAAGTTGATGCAGATAGTTTCAGCCTCCATTTCTGTTTGAAAGCAAACAAGTTATTATCATTCTGGATGCTTCGGATTTCTTTTTCTATTTCCCTTCAAAGTGGGGTTGTGTGGAAAGGTCTATGAACAAATAATATCTTACATGTTGCAGATAACTCAACAGCTCCAGTTTAAAAAAAAAACAATTTGTGTGAATGACGAGGTGGTTTCCTTTTTCCTTGTTTTATTTATTTTTTCTTATTCCAAAYATCAAACCGTTTGCACAATCTGGATATTTTTCTTTTGCACTGCAWGCAGCAGCAGCTATGCTATAGCAGTTCTGGTGCAGGTTTAGCATCACTCACTACTGTGTTATGTGAAACTGAAGATGATGCACCGTTTATCTTTTTTTCTTTTACATGCAATGTTATGAAAAACTTTTCATACAACAGCAATCCAGWTTTGCTGTTAGCTAACCATCCCATTCATTAAATTAAAAAAAATTGCAAAAACAGCAGCAGAATTTCATTTTTTTGCCTGTTTATGCGCATTAGGTCACTTTAACTAGATTGTTTTTAATCAGAATGACAATCTGCATATTTATACCAAAAGCTACACAATTTATGGGAGAGAGTCGAACTTTATACGCTTGTTTATTAGGGATGCAACATGTATCTGTATCGAAGCATTCAATACAGAGCTTTAGGTTCAGTACACACTATGTATCGAACAACACAGATTTTTAAAATTTATTTTATCAGCTTGTCTTTCTGAAGAGGCTCTGTGTTGAAGCTCAGTGGATCTGTGTTCGACTACTCCACCTGGCTGCACTGTCGAGCACAGATCCACTGAAACTTGCTGTTTCAGCAACATTTAATTAAAAAAACTGCACTTTTGAGGTGAAACAAATGTTCATAACTAATTTCAATAAATTACAAGTTAAGAAGGGCATGGACATTTCTCTTTTGAATCAAAAATATTGAACCATGAGACTAAAGTATCGAAACGAATCAGGAATTTTCTGTATCGTTGCACCCCTATTATTTATATTTATTGTGAGCGACAGCAGAAGAAACTTACAGCGACACCTCAAAACCTCAAAACACCAGTTATTCTAATGATATACTGAGAAAAACCTCTTTTTACATTCAGAAAATGTGAATTTCTGAGGTCTGCTGACATTTTGAAGCAAAACAAAATGCAGACAGACGTGTGATATTTAAAAAATAAGCCTTATTTTTTTTTAGAAACGTCATCACTTACAGCAGTACGAACGAGCCTGCAGRGGACGAAACTTAAACTAAAAGTGAATAAACTTAAACTCACACAGCGTGCTGCRGGGGGAATAAAACCAGGACGTGTAGAAAGTAAACAGTCCCACGCTGCAGCAGCTGCTTCAGCGTTTCTGTGTGGAACTACAATGGAAGCGTCACTGACGAGCTCAGGAAGACAAAGCATCAAGTGTGAGACGCCGACTCAACGGATGAAAAGAAACCTGTTACACATCCCACAATGCCGTGCGCAAACCGTTGCCATGAAAACCAGCAGAAAGGCGTGTCACAGGGGGCTCTACAACCCCTGCAGCAGCATTACAGTACAAAGTTTCACAGACCATRAAAAATGTTTTAGAGAAATTTGAAGCTATTTTTCTTAAATAAAACTTAACAGTGACAGCGTTAAAAGATCAAAAAGTTTAAAAAAATATGGAAATATGGAGAAAAAGAATTAAAACAGGGACATGCAGACGGAGTTCTAAAAAAAAACTGTAGGAAAATGAAATGAAATACCTTCTTCCACATCAGAAAAATAGTCGTCTGTGATCATTTCAGGGACATTGGCTTTAAAGGCTGGGTTTGGATGGAGAAAGACAAGGGAAAAAATAAAACACAAAAAGAATCAAAATAATAAAAATAAATTATATTTATAACTAAATCATATAAAAGAAATTAGAAGTGATTATTGGGAAATCTRAAGCATGTATGAGTCAGGTGGAAATGATTAAATCAAAAGTATTCAATGAYTGGAACAAAAACTTTGACTAAAGAAGAAGCAGAACCAGGAGGAAGTTCGAGTCACCTTCAACCTTTTTGAAATTGGACCTTCAGTTCAGGTGTTTTGTCTGAAACGGTTCAAAGTGGGACTCTGAAACTTACCGTCATCGTCGGACATGTCCAGCACCTCGTTCATGGTCTCTGGAACGTTCATCTTGTGCTTCTCTATCACAGTCTGTCAATAAAAACAACAACAAACTCTGACTATGGTGCTGATGTTGACCTGATTCTGACACATTGAAATAAAATATATTTTCTATTTTCTGCTACTACCACACCATATTTTACCTTTTTATTTTTATTTTT